TTGTTTTCTGAATAATTATGAACACATTGGCTCAAAAAAAGAATGTGCTGAACAAGTCACATTTCCATATTTCAAAAGTTGCTTTTCAATACGGGCATCGTATCGACATTGAAGTACGATACCGGTATTAATACCGATCTCGGTATTGAGAAAACGGTCCATAATTTGCAAACACTACTCACAACCCTTATCTTATTTTCCGTGCCAACTGTCTGTGCGGCGGCCACACTTGTGGCAAAAGCGCGAACAATTTCTGATCCACCCATACAACGAATAATATCTAACAAAAAAGAACAAATGTAGAAAACTGAAATCAATCGAACACTCCACGTGGAATTATGAAATAACTTAACAAGTGAACACTTGAGAAACTAATTATGAAATTTCATAAAAATGATCCTCTGATGGAATATTGTGAACGGTGTCTGCGGCATCATCTGAACTGCTCACATCCGTAATAAGTGGCGATGCTAAGCGCGCTTTACTTTCAGAGACCTTCAAAGATTCTAACATTTGTCTGATATCCTTGTCCACAAGTTTGGTTCTTTCCAATATTTCTTCATCGGTTGGATGATAACCACTCATATAAAACACCTCAAAATCAAATTTCAATTATCAAAACATGAACATATCCATAAAATGATCATATTTTAGCAATAATTCTGTTTGTCACAGTAGAATATAACGAGTGTACTTAAATAGCGAAAAAAAAACTGCAATGTGAATTATTTTAAATCAGCGTGTGGAAACCTTTTTAAGGGTTCTTCTCAACTCTTTCACTGCTTTCATTTCTAGTTCACGTTTCATTGCTAATCGGTGAAAATCCATTTGACACGTCGGACAATAATGCAGCTCCGTACACTCCGGTCCACCTCCAAACCTGTAACGCACATAAATTCATCGCACAAACGTGGTTGATTCCACTCAAGCACTCAACTATAATCACCATGACCTCGAGTACATTTCCACAGTAAATTTACAATAAATTTAGCATCGAATAACGTCGCATTCAACGTAAATCTTTATGACATCTCTCAACATCATTGCAATGAACTGGCATCTCAGATGCTCTCTTCGTCAACTTGTCTTTATGAGTTACGATGAAAATACAAATATGACCAAATAGTTCGTAAATTTGAAGGCAAAAATGAAATATTTATTATAATTCGAAAAAATTACTCATTAATAAGTAAATTCCATAATGATTCGTCGACAGTGACGTAATATTCGGCCAAGTCAGCCGCACGACTCGGTAATATCTGCGCATGTTTGCATAAGAAGTCATGATTCGTGATTGGACCAGGGTATGAGAACGTTGACAGTCGATGCAACCATTCTCGCGATACGTAATAATGCGTTGGTGATCTCATCTTGAAGTTATTGAATTCATTTTAACGTTTATAGACGCTAACAAACGGAATGCGAATAACTGCTACGACTGTTGTTGGTCGATGAAAATGAATTACTGCTGAACACAATTTACTTCACCTCTTCAACCTTTCGTGATGCTAAAACCGCATAATAGCAATGCTTAAAGAAGAAATACGCCAGATCAATTCAAATCTCACAGTGATTTTATGAGATTAGAATATTCTGCTTGCGAGCACTATTTTCATTTCCACAATGTACTATGCATTTTAAAATGATACCAGAATTAAACATTAAAGAAAAATCTCACAGACCCATACAGATTTCACATGAATGAAGGATGAAGCAAAAAAAATCAAACTTCTGGAGGATATTTTACAATATGACAAACCTTCATACGGTCGTACTCTTCTTTTTCCAGCAGTAAACTAATGACGTTCGATATTTGCGACATTTTATGAGTACGTCGTTTCTGGTAGAAGAGAACATATGCTTGTTTTGTCATCACGTCGGCTGCATCAATCTTCGTCACCACACTGTCGTCGTATTCGTACCAATTACTATCGATATTATTTCGACAATACGCCAAATAGTGACCACCTAATTGAATGGGATCGATCGGTCATTAATCACCAAAATATTTCATCATTGAATATGCACTGTCCATGCAATCAAAAATCAAAACTCAGATCTGCATGCTCAACTCGCAGATAACAGATTTATCTAATCGTCTCCAAAATGTGAACAAAATTCAGTGAATATTAATCTTTGTTGTGCAACAGAGCAATACGCGCCTCAAAAGGAAGTTTAAAAAAACTTTCAATTACTTTCAGCTGTACTTCCATGATGCGTGATAAATGCGCATAAATCGTATTTGGTACTATTCATCGATTCTGAATTGCTATACTTTCCTGGGTCGGCAACAAATAGCGATAAGTCCAAATCACATAACGGGAACGTCACATTTGTATTCACCTGAACTTGATCCAGTAAATGCAATCATACGAAAATTTGAAAATGAAAATATCATAATCATAAGAAAATCAATACCAGAATCACTATTTTCAAAATTAAAACAAAACTATTTCAAAATATGTAATTAGGTGTTCACTGAACTTCTAATTACATATTTTGGAACAGTTCTGTAAAAACATATAGCCTTGAGTTAATTGATTCGTAATGGAAGAGAGCAATTAACTGTTCTACGCACGCATAGAAATGGTTTCATGAATAAAATAAATGAAAAATTACTGCAATACCTTGGTGGAATTATAAGTATCATGTCTGAATCGTTTCAAATGAATACACAATATCTCTGGTAAACGCGTTATCTTGCATATCTTAACACCATTTCTTAACCTTAAACATTCACATCTTACTGCTCGATTCATCAAATTTCAATACCTTCAAACAAGACTGTAAATTCATTTCATTAGAATATCTGTGCAGAAATAACAAACTATAACATCAGCAATTAATGTACGAAATAAAATATTTACTTTGAGCACTTCTCACATGAATACATGTTATCACCACGTAAATCATCTGGTGAGAAGAATGTCGCTAAGCAATCCATCAATGAAACTGATCCGCCGAATATATACGAATAAGCTGATAAATAAGCAGAGTACAGCCATCCAAGACCGAACCACTCCCACAAATTATTCCAATTACTTTCACCATCAAACTGCTGAAAGCATTCAGTACTGAAGTAATGATTTATAACAGTAACAAAACTGATTGGTGAAAAACGATATGAACGACACGATATCCGAAGTCTTGAATGCGTACTGCTCGTATCCTTATGAACAATTTATCACAAGCACGTCACACGCCCCTTACGATATATGAGAAACTTCATATTGCTCTTTGATGAATTCGTAATCAAATACCTGATCGCTGACATCTTTATCATCACCTAGGAAGAAACTTTCTTTTGATGCAGCCAACTGATCGAGTTGTTCCTTAGTTGGAATACTCAATGATAAGTCCTATAAAGACGACAAAATAACCAAAACAAATCAAGTGAATATCAAATTACTGAATACAGTAATGGACTTGATTTCATGTTACTCTCGACTCATTCAATCTAGCAATAGAAATACGGTAATGAACTTAACAAACACAAATGATGATATGAAATAAAAACCTGAAATGTTTCGTGTGTTTCGGAAACGTGATGACATGTTAGACACTTAACTGCACTCCGCAACTCACCGTCAAACACTTCACCAACGATACTTCGATGATACAAAACTTTGTCTTCATTTGCTTCGACTGTAATTCATGAGAACTCTATCGAGCTGTTAGTATACATTCATTCGCCTTCACTCATAGCAAATATCCATTTCAATCGAGAATGATGAGTATAAATTCGAACATTTCGGTGATTATTTTCGTAAAGATATTCAAGATAACGCAGTTATCACATGAAACCAAATGCAATAAGGAACGATAAGCGACGAACTCGCATCGTTGTGATCATTTGGCGATGAATATGACGCAGCAAATGCTGGTGATGATTGGGCGTTAATCAACGATTTGGTTCCATCATTTGATGAAGAAATCTCCTGAGATTTCGACGATTTGTTGCGTATCTTTTTACATCTCTGCGAATCGATCACATTTTCACCGTTCATTGTCTCCTTTAAAATTCGATATCATCTTCTTNTCTTCTTTCACCACAACCGAAAACACGATGGATCGGAAATTTTTCTTTCACATCATTAGCTTGTTTCTCTTTTATTCCACTTTATTTCAATTTCTCTTCAGTTCATAAACAACAACCAATGAAATAACATTGAGGTCACCACTACTGCTCTCTCCACAGCATACAGTGTTATTCAAACTGATGTTGATTTCAGTGGTAATCTATGAAGGATTCATTCTGAAAACGTGCAGAACACAAGAGACGATGCGTGAACGATTCGAGAAGAATGCAGTACTGAACGATGCAACAAACCCCATCAGAACTCCAACCCGAATCAGCAGTTTCGTAGTGCTCAACACCACTCGAACTACCGGATGAGAAACTGTTATGACGTGATAATTGATCGACATCGGAAGATGAGGCGTTATCTGAGGAGGGAGATGGTCTCAAAGAACTGCATGAATACGCACTTAAATGCGGATCCGATCCTTTCTTATCGACTGACTGACTCGGAGACGACGACGACGACAACGCTCGAACATCCCACTGAAACGTTAAGTTGGTGATGTGCAATGAGATATGATGAATTAATTGCGAACAAACAACAAAACGACTACATACCCGATAAACCGGCTGCCGCAGTTCATTGTGCAGCAAGTTCAGAAAACACCTTATGAACTCTTGTGAGTCTTGCTGTGCCCAACCGCGGAACTGCGCACAATGAGCGCATATTTGCTGAAGATGTACAATGATAATCTTCGCTCTCAAATCATAGAAGTGCTCAGTGAATATGATATTAGTTCCGATATCTAATCATTATTCAGTGTACCACTAAATCAATCTTACTTACTCAAATAATCAAAACCCCAAATCTCTTCTCTTGTCCGCACACAGCATCAATAACACCAAAGGATACAAAAAAGTTTTAAAAAAAACGAGTAGGAACAGAAGTGCTACACTGAGAAATAGACGTGGGCTGGTGTATTTAATACGAGCTGACGACCATATAGACTGCAGAAGCAGGTGGAACGAACGCGATAAAGCCGGTTCCATCAACTGATTTTTCGAGTGCGGCAACTGAGACGCGTACAATGCCATGCTGTCGGAATAAACAAAAAATTCCGAGAAGGGTACACAGTTCGATAAAGCTTGTATCGCTGCATTCAAATAACACGTATTGCCCAAATTGCATAATCCTGTTAAGCCTTAAAAAAAGATGCATTCAAGTAACTGAAAAGAGTGCTACTATGATGTTTGCGATATCAATCAATCTTCAAATATCAACAGAACTCATTCATTGCAAAAGTAACTTTTTTATTACTCCTCATACTTTCATATTTATTATCGTACATCTGCGCGTGGATTAAGCCCCTAAATCACTGGTTCTTTTAGGTTTAGAAGGCGGGAAGCAAAATCCCTCCTGAGGGAATTTGAGGGTGTTAGGGGGAAAGGCGGAGGCTGAAAAATCAAGTTGGCTGGTTGGTATTCCTCCATAGTCATTCCATAAACATTCAACAGTTACTTCAAAAAACGTAATTTAATTAATACCACTGACGAATCTTGACAGAAAACTCCACAATGATTTGATCAACTGTCAGTTTTTCTTATGAATAATCATCCAGATTTGGTGGATTGATAGAGTTTGCGGAACTGCGGCCATGTGTTTTTTAGAAAGAAAGAGGGGGGGGAGGGGGAGGGGAATGACAGTCTGTCACATGGCAATTGGTAAATGCAGCGCAAGAGAGTGAAAACCATCGAAGAAAAGGATCGAGTGAATATTCAAAATCAAATTCAAGAAGCAACAACTAAAACTGGATATTACCACGCGGATAAGTGACATCGTCATGATCGACATCCCTCACAACAGCCTGTCTTGTTTCACCATGCTCATTATACAAACGTCCTTGTATTGATCGCAACTTAAATCCATCAACAAATCAGCCAAATGCTCACTTCGACACCAATTTATGCATTTGAGTTTTCCGCAGATATGAACATTAATTCCAAATGAAGATTCTCAGATGTTTCAGCAAAGGTTTCAACATGCGCATAAACGATTCGTCACTCATTTAATACAACCAATTATATTCATTTAATAAAAAAACAACTTAAAATACCTTGAATCGATACGTTGTTCTATTGCTAACATTCAGCGCAGTTTCATGCTTGATTCCGTTACATTGGGATATTGAATTATCAACACAATCTTTGCTATTATTCGAACGGGTCTGCAGGTTAACCCTCAAATCGCTGGACGTTTCATCGGTAATGAGATGTTTCCTAATCTCTTTATTGAATAATACTTTTTCCACCTGAAGAACCTTCATTTTCAATAATTCGAGTATGAGGCAAATGAATCATCACTATCAATTCGTTGCTAAATTATTCAGTACAAACATATTTTCAATTCACTATCGATATTCCAACGCTTACGTAAATTTGTGTATATTCTTCTTCAGCGACTTGCCATATGGTTGGCTTAGAAACTGATCTTGATTTCAAAATAACTTACATTACGATTGAAAGGCGGTATATTGGATTGATGCACTTCACAACTGCAAGCAGTGCACCAGATACGCCTCGAAAACAGATTCATTTGCAGACAATGCGTTTCGTTTTGCTGCAAATCAAAATCAGTAAATAGTATACTCGATTCGTATGCATCTGCTTTAAAATTGTAGGCATCTAATAATGAAGCTTACTGATTCCCAGTCAACATGAGAATTGACACAAACTGACAATGATACGCAAAATTATATTCTCGTAGTTACTGATCCATGGAGCGAAGTCCGTATATGAAGGCAATAAAAAGGGAGAAAAATTTCCACATAATGCCGAGCACTCAATTGCAATTCCCAAAGATCTACTATGAAACTGAGACGTATGTGAAAAGAAGAAAGCCCGACAGCAAAGCGAGGATTCATAATGATGGGAGCAATCCCGCAAGATTGTAATAAAGGTGTGATGTTGCAAAAACGACTGATAAAACACGACCTTAAAATGAAGTTCATAATGATTATTACAATTCGGTCCACATAATGTTTTCATACACGAGTCATCGAGGCACAACCAACATGAATCATCTCTTTTCGAACATTCATCACATTGTTTCACCTGAAACAAAAGGAATCAACCGAATCATAACTAATGAATTATTTTGATGGGGTAAACTATTTGTTCGGGCATTCGGTAAACTGTATTCTCTAAATGCAACCGATGGTTGTTGAATATGTTCTAATTGTGAACCAGTAGATGCAACTGCAAGTAGACATACTGTCTATGCATCAAATTATATCATCGAATGCAACCACGAAAGTTCACCAGCTCATTAAAATAATTCATGTACAAAGAAATGAGGCACTGGAATAAACTCAGGCATTGTACCTGTTCAGCATTGTAGAAGCGCAGATGTGGTATCGTTGAACATATGCTGACGTGAGGACATCGACTCACATCACATTCGTTATCAATTCTATCGACCAATGATAACTGACTAATCGGTGATTCATTTGGCGTTGACGTTTCTTTTGACACATCCAACTGCACTGAGTTTGTTGGCTGCCGAGTGACTTTTGCAACAATTTTTTTGGTTTTATTCCTCTGATTTTTTTTCGCCTTTTTTTTACCCATTGTTGACGATCGATACTTTTGACTGGACTAATTATATCACAACTGTAAAATAAATGAATTTTAGCAAGAAAACGGTGATAATAACGCAATCAACACGAACGAAAACTGTCCAAGCACACAACAACAATGGACGACTGGCTGAGAAGAAGCTCGACATTCATTTGAAGTATTGATAGCATCGTTATACGACGAATATGAAATTCTTGTTTTTATCATTCTGTTATTTGAACGAAAGATGGAAACATCAACAGATATCTGCTTACCGCAGAACGTACATTCAAACAAATAAGTCAGAAATAAAAAGAATGAATCGAGCTGTTATGCAAAGTATTGTTTATCAATTATATAATACAGACATAAGAATTATACGCTAATATCGTCAGCTGTGCGGAAGGAAGCATGTCAAAGTGGGAGGAACAATGTGGTTGATAATGGTAATAAAACACAGGCATGAACTCGTCAAAAATTATTGAATAAATGAATCATATAAGAACATGAATAAGAAAATGAGAATAGAATTCAATCAATCAATACGTGTGAACATGAAAGAAGTGAACATCAGAAGAAAAATATAAATAAAAACGAGAAAAAAAACAAAACAACCAAAATCACGAACAATTACCGAATAACGATCTCCAGTGACCCATAAAAAGTGTTCAGAATTTGTGAAAAAGAAGAAGNAAGAAGAAGTAGACTGTGAAGTGCTGAAACCGGTTCTGCGCGCACAGTTGATGGTCCAATCAGTTCGAATGAAAGTAATCAGTTTACGATCATAAATGAGATGAATTAATAGAATATGGATGCGAAATGTCCGAACGATTCCACCTTCTCAACTCATCACTGAAATGACTATCGATGGAATCGTTTCGGCAAATAATGCTCCTCTTCTTTCCAATTGCTCTGCGTGTCACCCTTCTCCTGTTTCTCCTTCTCCCTGACCGCTTTCCACATTTCAATATCTCGCCAATCAGCTTTCTCGAAATCAGGTCTCAAATTGTGTGTTGGTGCAGCTGGTATTTCTTTTCTTGGCTTTCCGAATTTGAAATGTTCATTTGATCCATAAAAATCTTCATCCTGCAATAAACCTCCTTAATAACTATTTCGATTGCATGATATGATTATAAGATTTATCTCCTCCACTCAGCACTATCTCGGCACTCGAGATTTTGAGTGACCGCTTCAAATGTTCGTGGATGCAATCCGGAATTCAAAGACTCGCAATGCAACCAGTAATCTCACTTTTCTGAACGCAAATGAGTTGTTTGGTCATGCAGATCTTCTTTTTACATTTACGCCTTATGAAAATATGAATAATATTTATCGATCATCACTGAACCAAAATCAATATCATCAAAAAATTTCCATTATTCACCCTTATTTTCAACTGAATGCTAAATCAGTGCAGTAGCCAGAATTTTTTCCATGGAACAAAGGTGGGGGCTGCTGTAAAATGGTCTGGTCCAGAAAATAGCTGAACTTTGAGGCGGATTTTTATGCGTTTATTTTTTCTTCCTTCTCTTTTCCATCCTTCCCTTTTCCCCTCACTACGCTTTTCTTTTTCTTCTAATGTTGGCTATGCCACTCTACTGAATAATATGTTGGAAGCGTTTGTATACTTGAAAATTATGAGTTTTATGAAAATATGAGTTATGAAAATTATGAGTAATGAAAATTATGAGCCAATGCGAAACAATGATACGAACATTGGTTGAGGTCGACTCGATGGGTCTTTTTTGATTCTTCCAAGACGTTGTATCACACAGATCTTCAGTCTTTACTGCAGCATCACTATTCTCAATACTTTCCAACTTTTCGCGTTTTTTCTTCTCCTTCTTCGCCCTTTTCTTTTCCTTCTTCAGTCGTTTCTCTTCCTCTTTCATTTTTTTCGCTACATCATCACTCAATTCCAACACTCCATCCTGAAATCATCACATTCATTTGTAAATAACTTCATTATTATCACTCTCAGTATACAACTATGCGGCAACTTTGCAAAGGTGAGTCGTTGAAACTTCACAACGACCAAAATTTCATCGCTGTATAACTATGGTACTACATTTACATATTTTAAATACACAAATATGAATTCAATTATTCATAACGAATTTCTTCATTCCTTCACGTTCCACTCGAATCGCTACTAATATAAACAGCTTTGCACATAATCTGACCAATTTCGAAAATCGAAACAGTTAATTTTTATTGTACTTCTACACTTTCGTCTGTTAGAACTTCTATACTTTCTACATAAAGGATAACTGTCGCCTCAGTAGTAAAGAAAGCCATTTAGTAGTTCACATAAGCGTATGCATAAAAGGAACACTAAAGCTTTTACCTTATTCAGTTTACTCCGTCGTTTTGGTATTATCACCTCATCTTCATTGTCTTGCTCTTCTGAAAAAAAGAACAAACATTAAAAATCATAGAGATCTAGAAGAAGAACCCATTTCGTACAGGACAGTACATTCAACGGCAACCAATCTTCCTTCTTGCAATCACTCTAACTATAATATATGGTTATGGGATAATGCATGATGCTTCATAACACCCTACATTGTTTTCATTGGGCTTTTACCAGAACAATACTTTTATGATCACTACCATTATCATTAGGACTGTCATAAGCTCAATCAGTGCATGATAGTGCTGATGGACTGTACGCAAAAACTATTAATGAATGAACTAACGTTGCTGTCTATTGATCGGTTTTGGTGCGCAACCTTCTTGCCATAAACGTATTGTTTCCTCATCAATGTCTTCTTTGTATTTCGGTACTTTATACTCAGCAACATGATCAACGCGTATCATTCGCTTCAACAACTACAAAAAAATAACTCCTTACAACAAACTTCATGAGAAATACAACTCTACCTAATATCAACTGAATTTTTGTCACTAAATCAACACTTCCAAACATCGTACGCACAATAATCAACCTGATCAAAACACGAACCTTAATTCCATTCAAATTATCAACTGCAAGAATTGTAGATCGCTGATCCTGATAACAAACAAATGCGAATCCCTTTGATTTACCCGTTTTTCGATCACGAATCAGATTCACATTCACGATCTCACCATATCTGAGTGAGGAAACAATAATATTCATTGTTATTGCTTGATCTTGTAACGATCTAACACACCTCTTCTATTGATACTGTTTATTCGCACACACCATGCGAACATACAGTACCTCTATTCATAAGCCCAACTCCATCTACGTAGAGATACTCTTTTGATTGCTATTCTTTTCATTACTAAAAAAAATTAAACGAACAAAAGTGAGAAAATGAAATCATACAGAAATGATGCCATCATTTCTTTTCATTACAGGATTCATTGAAGCATAGGATGACAGCGATAAGATAATACACATCATGTGCAATGCTTGAAAGTTTTGCTGTTGATAAAAGAAAGCGGATTAATGAGCAAATCATACTGCGAGAATACGGTGATAATGTCTCCTTCATTGAGATCGTATGGCAGTCCACCAATATAGACCCAAGCAGAATCAGAGTATTTATCGTGCCACGATTTACCGCTTCCACCAGCGATACCCATATCGATTTCTCGCTTGTTGATCGCATTTTGATTGCGAATATTTGTTATTGGATTCATTTCTTCTACAATCAACAACAAAGTGTAAACCCGCAAAACTGCCACCACTTCCCATTCGCTTCACGTTCTTTGTATTACCAATCATCCATCAAAAAAAAAACTAACCGTCAGAATTTTAATATTTCATGAAATTCGAATGTTTCAGACTAACACTTAAGTTCACATCTCCTAAAAGCACACCAAAACATTCACAGCTTCGAGGCTCATTTTAAAAGCCCAATTCTATGAATCACGCACGTGTTTGTTGATGTCGACTGTGCATAAATTCAATCAACTTTATTTTCTGAAAGTCACTTAAACAATTACAAAAAATTCCACAGAATTTGTTCGTCAACTCGACCGATTACAAACCATCTCTAAGCCCTAAAAATACGTCAAGTCCTGCACTAAACAACACAACGCATACCGTTCCTTCAACACTAACACAAAAATATCAATCAACACAGTCATAATCAATGAAAAAACTGCGGTCATACAGCTGTTATTCGCCAAAAATAAATAAATTAAGTGGATCCACTATTAAAACCACTGAAAATGTTAATCTACAAACCAAAAATATGCAATTGTGAACATTTATACTTGCATTAATAAATAAAGTAACAACCAAACGAAATGGGTAAAGACAACAATACAACCACAGGCATAATGAATGACAATAACAAATACGATAATCATAATGAAAAAACCGACACACTTTCATTTTCATTCATTACGTGACGCACACAGACAAACGTGCAATCGAATAGGTAACGGTAATATTCCAGGAATAAACATGATAACAAAACTGAAATGAAAATTCGTATTGCAAAAACTGAGTTTCTGAGAGGCAGTTCGAAGACAATCGCATATGTGAAGTTTTCATTATNAAAGATTCATAGTTTTATATCTTGCAGAAATAATCGAATTTGAATTCTTTTATAGATATTCCAGTTCTTCCAAATTACCAGTAATGAGAAGAAGAGATCCAAGTAAAACACCACAATCACACACTCGATCTGAGTTGATTCCGCAATTCAATAACTTTTCTTCGATCTTCGGGTGGTAACAAGGCTATTTGACTCTCGTTCAATTGTAACACCTTTAATTTCCAGATTAAATTTTATTAACAAAACGACTTTTGATTAAGATGAGCTATCGAAAGTTCGGTTTTAATTGACAACAGATCAAATAACGATAATCAACGAATGCAACGAAAACATCTAAATAATCCACCAATCAATGAAAGAGTACGAATACAAAGTCGAAATAACAAGCCTGCATAAGTAGTTGTGCTTGTTGTTGATCGTCAGCACTGAGTTCATTGTCATTGTTGGCATTATCCGACCGAGACGCTGGTATACTTGGTACGGTGGAGGGCTGTGGGACTGCAGCTGGTCCTGGAAATGGATTCGGCATTTGGGAGGGGAGAAACATTACTGACGGTGGAATGATTGCAAGATTTGTTGCATACATTCGTGAAGGAACACCACTCACTGATTACCCTTAAATTTATTCCTTAAACATACATTTCCTCTAGAAACTTAAATCTATTCCTTGAACATACATTTTTTTCCTGTATTTCATCTCCGTCTGAAAAAGTTAACTCCATAATTAGAGGTCAATTATCACCCACTAACTCAAACGTTAAAATTTCTTCACTTCGTATCTCTAATTAATGGAATCATTTCCCCATAAGAGTTGTTGAATCGATCAGAGTTAATCAAGTCGAAATTATGCTATCTGAACATAAACCTAATTTTTTAACAGCCGAATCGGCAATCAGAAAACAGTAGTGATGTAGGTGCTTAACATGCCCTTCACTCACGTACAATAAATAAATAAGCTTAAATATGGAACAATTTTAACGGAACAGATATGAACAAGAGCCATTAACATTCAAGTTCAGATGAGATGGTCGTAGCCAGAACTGTTCTTGTCATATCGGATGAAGTAAAGTGCTTTAAGAGAAGTGATATAATGCAATAATATTTACCGGTAGGGAATGTTTGCTGATGGAACGGCTGTGTAATAGATGGAGCTTCGCGGTGAAGCATCGCTATAGCCACTTGCGGATCCACTATTCGCATCACCACCTGTGCCTTGAAATCAAACAACACCTCTTTCTTGATCTCCTTTTAATTGTTCACATTCAATAAAATCAGGTTATCTTAATGACAAAGAATGCAAATCAACAACGTACAATTCAGTAAGTCTGAGTCTGAATAATGCCTGCAATGAAGGCAGAAAAGTTTCACATGACCAAATAAAATAAAAATTGAACAATCAACGAACGGAATATATCTGTTCACGAAAAAGAAAAGATGGTTCGAAAAGGCTACGTGAAATGTTACCTGAAGAAGCGCGTACGCTAGCTGTGGATTACTCATCAGAAGACTTTTCGCTTCATTTGGATTGTTATGAACACACTGTTTCATTTGTTTCATCAACTCGAACATTTGTTCTGGTGGTAACGATGCCACGGAGCGAGATATTGCTTCTGGTGCTTTATCCGGTTCTACTTCTGCACCAAACGGACTTTCATGTGCTTTCAGCTGGAATTTTGCTTTGTTATGTTCTAAGATCACAGTATTGAGGTAATCAAAAGAAGTTATTATTATGACATCAATGATTATGCAGAGGATTTTAATGTGCACTAAAATGAGATTCTACAAAATGATGAATAAATCTGCATACAATAGATGAGAAGAAAAGTAGGAGAGATTCACTGATAAAGTTGATTCAAAATCTTACAAAAACATATCATTAAAATGGGTTATTTGTATGCAAATGAATGTGAGCAACCTCTTGCTGTTGGGCAGCGAAAGCAGCCTGCAACTGCTGCACTTCATCAGCACTTCTCTCACCTCCGGCCGCCGAATCAACTCGCAACTGTCTTCCGTTCAATTCGTATCCATTCAGATTCCTATTCAAATTTAATTTCTTACTTATCTAATGCATAACACAAATGAAATTCAGTAAAGCCAAACAATTCAATCGAGAAATGCCACTAATAACAACGGCTCCGACTTATATTTTGACACTTGCGTGATTTTACATCGACATACAGTTGCATCAAAAATCAGCAAAATAATCATAAAAGACAGCTGCATCAAAAATGCAACGAGCCACAAAAACTTTTGACGTCAAAAGATTCTTCCTTACACTCATTTTCTGGTAGAAGAGAGAGTGACTTTATAAACTAAGGAACCTTATAGCACTTTCTGCAGTCTGCGGATCATTGTACTCGCAAAATCCATAACCTTTCGGTTTGCCTGTCTCACGATCATGAACCAATCGAAGATGCACCACAGGACCAACCTATCAAAAGTTAACCTGACTTCAAATGATTCGACTGAATACAGCTGAAGACAGACTTACCAAAGACGATAATATAAGAATAGTTTCAAAATAAAGAACATCCTTTGCTTGCTAGAGGGTAGTAAATCAAATATGAACCATTCAAATGATAGATTTTGACAGTGGAACACGATTGAAGAGTGAATGTAACAAAAAGGATTTCGGTCTGAGATAATAACGTTGACAACAGCACTTTTTAGGAGTTTTATGCGAGCAATGAAAGCCGCGTGGATCATTTGTAAAATTCAATAAGCGGATACCTGTGAGAAAACTTGCTTCAGCTGTTCCTCGCCCACTTCGTAAGAAATGTTGCCGACTGAAAATTTAAGACATTCTTATCTTGGAGATTGCTGAGTTCTATTTCAACCACTAGTCGATAGTGGACTAAAATTCAGTCACTGAATCGCAAAACTTCGATTCGGAATCATATCATAGAAGAAGAGAGCAATATTAGTAAGGGAGATCAAAAAAAAGGAAATCAAAAAAACGGTTCAAAAAATACCAAAAACAGATCTCGCAGAGCGATCGGCCGCCGAATTTGTCGTTTTCGAAGACGATGCTTCGCGATGTGCCATCACTCACCCAATAATATGCCCACAAACCAGTAATGAAAACCTGAAATCCCACCTCAAACAATTCACGAAGGACGACTTTACGTGTAACAAAATGGTGCGTCACAGATGAGTATAAAATCGCCCATTCGTAAAATTGAGTTCATTGATAATCTGCAAGGGTTAAAGCATTCAATTCATTGAGAGAAGGCTTCTCGAAAGGTGAGCAAAGTTTCTGCAAGAGTGGAGCTCCTGAATGGGAGAGGGGTCTCCAAGATGGGAGAGGGGAGCTAACCAAGGGAGAGTGCTGTTCACCAGAAAAGAGCACGATTCCTAGGTCGGAAGAAGGGTTCTTCGGACCTGGGAATGAGCTGAAAAGATATATTTCCCAAACGTGAGGAGGAATCGGCATGCGGAAGAGAAGCCTTTCCAACAGGAGAGGGCTCCCCGGGAGGAAGAGGAATTTCCCAGCCTCAACCCCAACTGATGGTAAGCTGCTAACCTGAACGCCCAACCGGAAGCAGACATCTTCCTTATAATGTTCGCCTCCAATTGAGAACAAAATTGTGTTACTTGTTTTAATTTCACTCAGAATGATGCTAAAAGAACCTATGGTGGTGATCGTAAATTACCAAACCCCGCACCCCCAGCCGATTCTGCTGAGCATATGCCGAAATAGGTTGCAAATTACTTCATTCTTTGAAAAATTATTCTCTTCACTCCAGACAAGATCGCCAAAGCTAATAATTGAATCGCAATCGTATCTACGCTTGTGCTTCAAGATTGGAAATACATTTATGGCGATTAATAATCTAATGCGATATGTGATAATGATTGTCGATTGTTCTTGCTTGACGTTATTCAACGTACATGATGGTCTCGTGGTGATAATCAACATGAAATGTAGTGATGGACTCTATTTAGGAGTAGACTGAGGCTCATGTCAGGGAGTCATCAATTTTTTCAATAGACGTCTTACTACGATATTACAGAGCCATGAATTCTTTGCATAAATATCTCAGCTTTGGTATCAGCCAGAGCTTGATCCCTCCACCTCTCCCTCATCAATTGTAACAGTTCACCACGATTATCATTCACCATGTTTCATTCAATCACTACAAACATTGCGTTCAGAATGTAACTAGAACGTGTTCATCAGCACTCTCAAAATATCCTTTCACTTTTTCAAATGTTGCAGTCCATCGATTACGGTCTAGTTTTCTGCCGCAGATTAAAATTGAGTTCGATTTCGTCTTTGAGTTTAATCATAACTCAAAATTCATTCTGAGCTCGCTTAGCGTTTCACGGATGTTTGCGAAACTCAGTATTTTGTTTCAGACAATTCCTAGCGTTAAAAATCATGTTTGGAGTCAGCCCAACCTCATGATTTAAAGAAAGTCACATGTTTCAGAGCAAAGCTGAGAAGACAGTTAGCTCGAAATAGCAATTCGCTTATTGCTATATGAATGTATTGATTATTGCTCTATAGTGATCAATATGCATGAATGAGCGCGACCCCGCTATAGAAATGAGATAGATCTAAGAACATGGCTCTAGCTCCTCAGGAAATAAAAATCGATCAGCAACGTGTATATTTTTCTGAGTGTAGAGATGCAGCTGGATCGAATGATGCAAAAATATTCATAACTTAGTGGGCAAACTTGAGCATACGAGAGTATTGATGGTGGCACCCAAGATACTATTAAGAAAATTACCATATCTCCTCAAGAAAGTAGAATTACCGAGTAAAATTTTTGATATTCTGAATCTAGAGATTCGGTTGGATCGACTGGCGCAAAGAAATTTACATGTTCCCGGGTAAAGCTGAGAAGACGGTTAGCTCCAAGATCGCATTCCGCCTATCGCAAATATGAACGTATTGATGGCTCTATAGTGATCAATTTGTACGAATGAGCGTGACTGCGCTATTGAATTGAGCCATATCTGCAGAAAATGACTATGTATGCTCAAGATAACAAAATCGCTCGACAAAATATATGCTTTTCTGAATGACGAGATCCAGCTGGATCGACT